TATTTACCACCCATGAGTAACAGAACAATTTGAGTCAAATTGTAATTAAAAAAACATAAATATACTTAAAAAAACATGAAATAGGATTCATACCGATCAGCTTTGCATCACCTTGATGTGAGCTAGCTGTTCCAGCTTCTGCAATAACTAATGGGGAAGAAGAGAAACATTTCCAGAAAAACACTATCCTCACTATCCTATTTTAAGAAGAGAAAAAAAAATCTAATATTTGGGATGAATAGCTTCTACATGTGCTTCTTCTTTTTGCTCTACAGAGTTTTAAACACTGGTAATGGGTGTGAGATGCCTCATTTCAGCAGGCTCAAGTTCAGCAAATCTCACTCATTTTGCTTTGGTATTCTATGAACATCTGGAATAGAAGGGCCCTGAAAGACCATCCTTTGCTAACCCTTTTGTTCCCCTCCACCCACACTGAAATTAGAACAGAAAGATCATTTTAAAATAATAATAATAAAGTTAATAAATATATGTGGAGTACTGAAAACTACCTCCTGCCCTTTTCCAGAAATGTGTCTTCCTCTTAAGACATACAGATATGAGGATCCATACCAATTGGTCTGTAACTCCCAGCTAATGTCTGTTCTGCCCTACCGTATTATTCCTGTGCCGATTTGTTCAGGACACAGAAACCATGGCCACATGGTTACGAAGAAAGGCATACAATATTCTTCCTCAAAATTTGCCATCAGAATACCTAGGCAGTCTTTAAGTGATAAGAATGGCCTTTCCTTGGCCTGTCATCCACAAGGCAATTTAACTAGGAAGAAATGAGCAGGATGGTGATTAAGAGAGGCTGAATTTATGGAAAAAGGTCATTCCTTTTTATTAGGCCAAAGAATGTATTTGGAAAAAAAAACCCAAAGAACCAAGAAATTGGATGAAACCCAGATCTTGGAGAATTTGGCTCTGACTTTAACTTAACTTTTTTTAATCAGGGAGAACATTTGAGAAATATTTGAGGTGGGGGAAGATGGTTAATACCTGAGGGATGTTAACAAGGAGAGATGACAAAGTCTTAAGTCCTTGCAAGACACAGAGAGAGTAAGAGGAAGATAATCATTATTTGTGACAGGTAATCAGGAGGTGTAGTTGCAGAGAAACTATCATGAACCATAAAATCACCGACTCTGTTGAGGGTATGAGTTTTGGTCTCCAGCAAATTCATGAATTTTACTTCCCAGGCTCACCTTTGAAGGTTTTTTGTTGTTGTTCTTTCATCACAACCACTAGCATTGACAAACAGAAAATGTTAAATTCTGTTCTCCTTTATATTACTATTTTTCAGTGAAATAAAATCTGCAAAGGAAAAATTAATAGTTCTGATTATTTTGATTTTGGCATGTCAAAAACTATTTATTATCTTCAAAGAGATTTCAATAGTCATTGTAATCAGCTGCACTGCTAAGCCTGATATTAGTAATAGCAAATAGGAAATGAAAAAGGGAATTTTACATTTGCTAATTAAAAGTTGTTGTGCTTTTAGTTTTTGAGTGACAGATTCCAGAAAATTTCCTCTGTTGCAGATAGAGAGAGAAGATTATTGTAAACTCCCTTTAAAATTGTTAATCTTAATTATTGTGCTCACATTCTTAGAGACATGAACAAAATGCTTTTCTATCCATGACTTCAGATGTGTTGTAAAAGACACTCTTCCAAGATTCACAGTAGTATGTGTTTGGGTGCATATTTTACAAGGTTTATAGATGCCTTTCCCACAGATTAATTCCAAAAATTATCTTAGTACTAATGGGATATATGTTTATACACAGATATGTAGATATACCTACACACATATATGCATACAGATATATCATAACAATCCTTGGATTACCTTTATGCTATAGCTGAAGTGTTTGTATAATTCTCCTGTCGTATGCGGTATTTGTTGGTCTAAGGTTTCTAAGCGCTATGCTCTGTTTAATGGAGAATACATTCTGGTAAAACTCTCCCTAAAGTAAACGCTTATTTCTGTGTTACATCTCTGAACCTGCAGGATAACTCCATGTATTTTGAACTTCAACCTTGTAACAACAAATTATTTATACAACTTGACAAAGTGACACAGAAAAAGCAGCTGCACAAGACGAAACTGAAGCACATAAAACATAGTGAGAAGAATAAAACTCCCATCACAGACTATTTTTCTATGTTTAGTCCACTAAGAGTGATTTTTTCATTACAATCATGAGAGCTCCCCCAGTTCTGCAATTTCTTCTGCAATTTTGCTGAAAGTTAAAGCTCAACATGAAGCCTCCAGAGAATTATTCTGAGTTAATAACACCTGCAAAGAACAGAGTTTTCACTGTGAGCTAAATTGCTGTGTGATTGCCCACACATCAGCAAAAGTTATAATTGGGAGAAACTGAATATATTCTCTGTTTTTAAACGGTGAGGATTCTGTGGGGTGTCATTTTACATTAAGTAGTAGAGTTATAATTGAGAATGTTTCACAGCAACGGACTGTGTTTGTTTTAACAGCAAGATTTACTTCCTATGAGAAGATTTCTATTACCGTCAGCTGCTCAACCTTTCTTAATCTTAAGCAAAGTTGTCAGGGACTAGACTTTAAACAGGGATTTTTTTCTTCCATTTTCTTTTGAATTTATAAGTTGATTCTTTTACTTCCCTAGCTGTTTCTCATATCTTAGCAAGCTAAGTTCTGATTTTAATCTCACATCTGTAGCGTATATATACTGAGCAACTCCCCGCACAGCAGTAGAAATTACCCAAGGTATGCTTTTTTGTTTCTTCCAGATGTTTCAGAGATACATTCATAGCTAACAAGAACAATTCAGACATAGCTCCTGAATCAGATCGGCTATTAATATTATCGTCTATCCAAAAAAAAAGGACAGAGAAAGAAAAGAAAGTCAAATAATCTTGTCTGTGTATTGTATTTTGAGATACTCCTTTCTATGTTTTCAATGAATCTTGTGTCAATTTAAAGCTCATGTTTAGAATAAGATTCAGGGTTATGTCTGATGACACTAATACAATCCAAGCAAGAAATGAATAAACCTGGTTTTACTGAAGACAGGTCTACATGGGCGTTTGCAGACAAACCACTTTTTTTTTTTTTTTTTTTTTCCCCTATGCTTTGAAGTGAACCAGCACTGGTCCATAGGCCAAGTAACCCTGTTAGCAAGTTGTAGTGCTGTGGTCAGTAGCTTGATCAGAGATTTAATTGATTGAGGTATGTTGCCATGCTAACATGGCTGGATGTGCTTTCTGTGTTGGAGCTATTTGGACTCTGTCTGCTCATCCCTGGGCAACAGAGCATTATGACTTGCAAAATTACATAGTCTCATTTATATGTTAGTGTACAGCTTACTTGCCTAGTCAGAAAGTTTCTTATATACCAGCATGCATTTTGTTCTGGAGAACATACTTCTGAACTACACACTGATTGCTGCCATGAACCTTTTGATATACTCCTCAGTCCCTTCTCATGTCTACTTCTTTCACAGGTCAAGTGCCTGGGAATATAGTCCAATTAGGTTTTTTTTTTCAATACAATAAAAGGAAACTGATGTAAAGCTAACGGAAGCTTTACATTTCTAGGACAGTGACATCTGATTTCAGATATGTACTTGTAGAGCAATGCAGCTTGCTTCAGTGAGTTTCTGTTACATGCCTTTTACAATTACTAGAATAAAATATCCTCAGTGCCAAAGGCAAGCATGTAGGATGCAGGGAACTCCCAAATGCATAAGAGTGTTAGACACAGTAATATGTAGTGGCTGCTGCTGCTGTATATAATAGCAGAACATTATAGCTATTCTTGCTTCAATGGAGATCAAAACCAATATAGCATTCATTTCCTTGAAGCATCATAGGAATTATTAAATGATAATTCATAGCGAGATGAAGCTTTTAAGCTCAGATAATTTTGCTGCCTGGTCCAGAGGTCACTGAGAAGTGTAATGAAATAACAAATCTCTACTGACTGACTACAGTAGAGATCCTTCTCCACAACCCTTCAATACATATCTCTACTGAGAAAAGGAACTGTAGGTAAGTTCCATCTCCAGCACAGAGCTGTCTGTGAAAGATGATGCCAGGGGCTCTAGCTTCAAACATCTGATCTCTGTGTCACGACTCGTGGATGGTCCTAGAATTTAACTCAGACATTGCAGAAATAGGTGAAGACATGGTGTTTGCCTCAAGGCTCTAGGAAAGTGGAGAGCAAGCAGGTGCTTTGTGGAAACAAACCTCCATGTGTCGACAACACTGCACTTGTCAGATGAATTTATCTGTTCCAGCTGCACTGCTCTAAGAATGGATCTTTCAATACATATTTATTTGATGTATTAAGTATCTGAAATGTGCTGCCAGTTTCTTTCAAAGAGCTTTGTGGAACTGGGAGTTGGGACAATACAGAATCACGGTAGCATCCAACAGTAAGAACCAAAGTAGAAGCTAACAGCTTCCCGTTGTGCGAGCTACTGTAGAGTGGGAGTTAACCGCTTTGTCCAGTCAACAGTGGAAGAAGAAAAGAGATGACTCATTTTACAGAGAGGAAAAATGATGCCCTAAAACTATTGAGAAAACCAGTGGCAGCTCAGAGGAAATCTGAAGGTGGAAATCTGAAAAAAAAGTGCTGCTTGAACTTCAAGCATGTATTTTCAGACTGTCTATATGATAGACAAGCATGTGTTTTTACATAACTGTTCTTTTCAAAATGTGATACCCATAAAAAAAGCATCTCACAGAGGAATGAAAATATTGCAAATTGAAAGAAAGGGATCCAAGCAGTACAAACCAGATATAAAAGTTAAAAAAGATGTTTTTCTGTCCCTGATCTGTCATACAGATATGTGCCTGAATGTAGATGCTTCATTTTGAATCACTCTGAAATTCTCCAGTTTATTGGAGTTTGTATGCAGAAGTCATGTTTATCTCTAACTTTGAAATATTGTTGGAAGCTAAATATTGTAAAAGAGGAAGTAAGGAAAGGAAAATATCTCTTGCTTTTCTAGGTTGTCCTGGGGCTAAGAAGAATGAGTTCCTGACTAGTGTTTTGGATGCATTATCCACAGATATGGTACATGCAGTTTCTGATCCATCGTTGGCTTCTAGCCGGTGGGTTTTAGATCCTTTTCATGTGTCTTTAGATCCTTTTCATGTCTTCTGGTAGTGGCAAATGAAGTGTTAAGGACTCTGAGAAATAATTTTACTTCTGCCTTCACAGAGAGTAACTATCCAAGAATTGATCTGGGAGAGTTTACTTGAAAGCTATCACTGTGGACAATGCCCACTAAATGGACATGTATCTGATGGCTGAACCCTAATCAGCAACACAGCTTAGAGTTTGTCTATAATTGCTGATGCAACTATGTGCCAGTCTTAGTTTGTTTTCCTGTCAGACTTCTCTTGAGGAGTGTGTACTAACTTCCAGTTTCATGTTTTGCCTTATGTCTTCTAAAACAAAACTGCTATCAACAGTCACATCTAGAATTAAAAATAAGTGAAACTTTGCAAGTCTGCAGTTAGGTTAGTATTTTAACTTACTCTCTGTTGAATGGATGTTAGGTGTTTAGTTTATAAGAGTGCCCATAGTGGGTTGTACTCGAAGTCTAGATTTTTACCGATGTTGATTGTTGGCCTGTTTCATTTGGGCGTGTTATGTGCTTACATCTATAGAAACGTCCTTTTCACTTTTATTTCTCTCTTCACTTTTCTGTGCTTCGGGAAACAAAAGGGAAAGGCATTATTTTCTGTATACAGTGCAGACCTGAGCAGGGTTTCAGAATTGGTTAAGACCAGATTCCAGTCCCTAGTGTAAAATTAGGGATACAACTGGCCACAATAAAAAGAAAAGAGATTCACTACAAGAAAGTAGTGTCCAAAAGTGAAGAGGTTAATCTAACAAAGCACCTAGTGATCTAGCTATTCATAAGGAATGGTATAAACAAACATATGCAATGACGATTAAGGCTTAATACTTGGTTTCTCTTTCAGGGTTTCAGAGCCTGATCCAAATCACACTCTGGAGGAGAGAGTAGTCCACTGGTATTTCAAACAACTTGATAAAAATTCCAGTGGTGACATTGGCAAGAAAGAAATCAAACCATTTAAGAGATTCCTACGAAAGAAATCAAAACCCAAAAAATGTGTGAAGAAGTTTGTGGAATACTGTGATGTGAACAATGATAAGTCCTTGTCAGTTCAAGAATTAATGGGCTGTCTGGGAGTAACAAAAGAAGAAGGTAAAGCAGAAACAAAGAAACGCCACAGTAAGAACCTTTTCTATCTGTCTTTTTCACTAGATTCTTCAAAGCCATCAAAATTGGTATTTGTATATGCCAGAAGTATATGAGATAAAAATGTACATCTGCCTGTAGCTTTTGGAGTAGTTGCTTAGGGCAGATGAGAGGAAAGCTGCTTCTGTGTATACAAATCATCACATCCCAAAAGAATCAAAGACTTCCTGTGACTGGTCATTAAACGCTCACTTATATTGCTTCATTATAGCAGGAAAACTAAGAGATATGATACCATTGACAGTTAACTGAAAGCAGCGTTATTATACTAGCATGTCATGAATGAGGGGAAGTGCCACAGCTGTACTTCCTGGCTTCCTGCTGGGAAGGAAGCACATTATTGCCCCTTCCAATAGCTTCTCATTTCTCAAATGTGACCTAGAGGTACAGTGAGGAATGTGGTCATCCATCACATAGATGTAACAACTACTGGTACACCACCACTTATGGCTGCAACGCTAGTAGAAAGCTGACTAAAGTGCACAGTAATCCCTGCAGTATTCATTCATGCAATTTCTGAAAACAAATACAAAATCTTTGCAAAGAGCAACAGTAGATCCCCATTTTTTTTTAATGTAAAAAGTTGTAAAATATGAATATAGACTTTTTTTTCTATTTGTTTGGAGGCCCAAAATGAAGCTGGGACAGTAAAACAAATGTGTCATAGTGAATCAAAAGCAAGTTAAGTAGGAAATACAGTCAAAATAAAAGGTGAGGCCCCATCTGGAGTATTGTGTCCAGTTCTGGGCTTCACGGTACAAGACAGATGTGGAGCTGCTGGAGAGAGTCAAGTGCAGGGCTACAAGGATGATCAGAGGCCTGGAACATCTGCCCTATGAGGAGAGGCTGAGGGAGCTGGGCCTGTTCAGCCTGGAGAAGAGAAGGCTGAGAGGGGATCTAATCAGTGTCTATAAGTACCTCAAGGGAGGCAGTGAGGAGGATGGTGCTGGCCTCTTTTCAGTGGTGGCCACTGATAGGACTAGAGGTAATGGCCACAAACTGAAGCACCAAAAGTTCCACAGGAACTTAAGGAAAAAAAAATTAACAGTGAGGGTGACAGAGCACTGGAACAGGCTGCCCAGAGTGTTTGTGGAGTCTCCTTCTCTGGAGATCTTCAAAACCTGCTTGGATGCAGTCCTGTGCCACGTGCTCTAGGTGACCCTGCGTGTGCAGGGGGTTGGACTAGATGACCTCTAGAGGTCCCTTCCAACCTTAAGCATTCTATGATTCTATGATTCCAGTCTAGAAAGGATATATTGCAGACAGAAGGAGTAGGCGTACAGTGTACTAATAAAATAAATTGTGTATGGCTGCCTGAAATTGATTTACTGATATATGAAACTTGGGACTTTTGTGTGTGTGTCAATTTAATAAGAATCCCTTGCATTTTTCATTCATAAAGGGAAGGTGAAAATATGTGTTTGTAGGTGGCTGTTGTTATCTATCCTATAAATAGGGAAATACAACACCTTTTTTATGGTGACTTATAATGCATACTATTATGCTCACTTAACATGTTAAAATCCACCACTTCTGTACTGTGGCAGCCAGCACTTCTTGACCTTACTTTACATGAAATTTGGGTCCCAAGTCATTGGTCCAGGACATAAAGGAAGTCTGTAGCAAAACACAAACCAAAACCCATTTATTCTTGCTTATTTTACTGTGCCCATTCCAGTAGAAAAACAAAAGCTGTCCATAAGATGCCTGCTTCAGAGAAGAAAGTTGTAAGATATATGAAATTACATCAAGATTACCAAAAGAGATAAAATAAAAATTAGAGATGAAGTAAAAAATATATTCAGCATGCTAAGCATTTTGACAGGGCTTCTCCAAAAAAAAAAATCTTAAAAATGAGGATGCTTATTTCTGGAAGGAAAAAAGATCTCAACATTTTTGCATGGAAAAACTAATAGCACACAATTAGAAAAAAAAATCTTAAGCAAATCATTTGGTTGCTTTTCCATTTTCCAATAGTAAATAATTCTTAAGACAAGAAAATAATTGCTTTTGTTGGAAAGTCAACATTTGCTTTTGTTTCTCTTGCCTATATAATTAGAATTCATATACATAAATAATGATTTTCACATTCAGGATATTTTCTTACTGATAATCCTTTTAATTAACAAAAAAAAATCATCTCTTCACTGAAGTTAGAATTATACTTTCAGGAATAAGTGAGAACTATTTCACCTAACATGTGAAAGCTGAGATACATAGATGACTCTGTATGACCTTTTATGGGTCTTAAAAGGTATATATCCTAAAATGTCTTATGAGAACCATTTGAAGCAATAGAAAAGTCAGAGAACTGCAATATGCATTTTCTCTAGGGAATGGTGGTTTCTGCAGCATTTATCAAGGTCAAATTTAGTTCCTTTCTCAACTCAGCTTTATTGACCAGCAAACTGAGATGGAAAATGGAGAAGCTTTCTTCTCGAGCTTCTCAAGTTTGCTTCTGAAGGTGAAGTTCAGTAAGTTCATGTAGCTGGATTTTCTGTCCTCATTTTGTGTACCATCTTGGTCTTTGCCACTAAGGAGAAACTTAAAACAACAGAGATAATCATATACTTTTGCAGCTTACCTTTGAACAATGTTTTTAACTGTTAGCACTAGAGTTTTTGTGAAATGTTTGTAAGCAAAGTGAATGCTTCCAGACAGTCTTTCGTACTTCTTTCCCACCAGGAATATTAAAATACATTTACTACTGAGGATTGAATAAGTTTAAAATGCTTGACATTGTTTGACCCCCTGCAAACTGTCCTAAGCAAATGGTCACATATTACCTGGCAAGAAATTCTGTTATTCAGCTTTCAGATAACTGTGTGAAAGAAGCAAAATCTATAGTGAGGAAAGAAACAAAAATGGATGTTTCGATTAAAGATCTGAAATATTGTATATTACTCACTGAAAGCTGTGCATCCCTTTTCAGAATGAGGGCTTCAGCTCTTGAGGGAGGCTATATGTAATTTTCAAACCAAGTTCATGATATTTTCTTTTTCCTTTTAGCAGCCCCTAAAACTAATACTGAGAGCACTTCATCCAACAGGCAGGTAAGTACTGTGTAGAGCAAGGTCTTTATTCTCTTCTTACTTCCTGAACATTTTGTGTATTTCAGCTGTTACCATTGCACCTCGAAACTGTATTAATCTGCCATTCTGCAGACTTTCCAGGAAAATATAGAGCAGCATAATGGTAAACAAAGCTTGACTTCCTGTCTGTCTCAGGAAAGTTAGATCAATCAGTTACAGGTGCAGAGTTAAACATGCATGAATTAAAAGTGGATTAGGCATGCATTTGGATGTTCCTAGCAAAGTGTAAACTGACATCTAGTTTAGAAATACTTAGATGACTGTAACTGGGTCCTCATATGAGTATTCTGCCTCCTGAATGACATTCCTGAACATTTTAATGTGGAATGCTTTATCATCATTTACCTTTTACTTTACTTGATTTTGTTAACCTTCCTGTGAGTCATACTACAGACACAAACTTACACTGATCAAAATCTTTTTGTGAATAGAGCTATGCATTTTTTTATGCACTATGAAAATCTATACATCTAAACTCCACTTAGTTATTGCAAGTAAGTAGTGTAGTAAGTAGTGTAGAGAAAAGAGCTGTCATTTTTTAGTGGTTTTAAACACCTTTTAAAATCTTAGTGTAGAGAAAAGAGCTGTCATTTTTAAATGCCTTTGCTGACTGAGCTAAATGATGCTGGAAAATCTAGGATTTACATCAGTCAGAAGATATATCTTATGACTAAAATTGGTTTGGTCTGTAGAAGGTTTTTAACAAATAAGAAAATGTCAAGTGCCCTGATAATATAATCTGCATTTGGTTTTCAACTTATTTTCTGCAAAGACTTCATTTTATCTTTCAGAATAACACCAGTTAGTGTAATTCATAGAGTTCTGATAGTACCTTCTGGCAGTGCCTGCACAAGGCACAAAACTATATACATTTTTAGATCATGAAAAGGTAGTCACTGAAAAAGAGAGTTGAAAAGGGAAGCCTGGGGGAAAGATTACAAAGGACTTCTCATTTGCATGTATGTATTTTCATAATTATTAATCTTAATGATTTTCTGGACAGCATCAGCACAGCTTCCTGTTACTTTTGCATAAATCTGAAGAAGGACTTGCTGAGTTTGACTGCTATGATCCAGTAAAAGCATTAACTTACAATCCTTGTTTCACTTATGCATTAGTAATTAAATGAATAACAGATACAAAAGCTTCAGGTAATTATGATTTTTTAAAGGTATGATATATATATATATAGAAATATAGAAGAACACTACACCTGAGAGAAAATATGAGTTTGGTAAAAAATACACAAAAGGCGTAGTTGTGGTTAATTATCCACTGTCTTCCTATCTATGAGAAAGCTAGATTAATTTGTTGAAAACTAAACCCTGGGTGAACCTCCCCACAAGCTAAGCAAAATCTTCCTCTCATTGTTGCTAGTCAATTTGTTACTTGCTATATCTCTAGGTTTGTTTGGTATTAATTGCAGACTTCCTAAGGCAAACTCGACACTGGCTGTGGGTTCTACCAGAGACCTCCTAATACCTTTGATGGAATATAAAATGTTCTCACAGCTAGAAGGACGTGATAAGTTTGTGTTTATTTAAACAAATGTTTGTGGTCTTAACTTTTCAAGTTCTGCCCACAAATCACTTATACTTTAAACAATGCCGCCTGAAAATAATTACCCTGTCGGAACTCAAAAACATTCAAAGGGGTGATTTTAATTATATAATAGCAATTACTGGCATACGTGCATTGCACTTAAAGCATGACATGGCCTCTCTCCCTTTCTTGTAATCCAATCCTGACTTGCAGAATTTGTAATAAAAGTGTCCTAGAGATTCTGTTTTTTCAATTTTATCCAATAATTCTGCTGACTCAGCACCAATTATTTTAAAAGCCGTTGCTGACAAACGATAGCTTTGACTTAAGGCTGGCTCAGCAAACCATCTGTTGGCAGTTCCATACTGTAACCATACAAGACTGCAAATGTAGATGGTGGTTTTCATCACAAAAGCTTTTGCTTGAAAGGAAATTGTTGAAAAGGAACTGGGCTGAGTAGGAACCCCTTAAAGGAAACCACCCACCTAAGAAGGTGTAATTAGAACAGCACCACTCAGGAGATGGGTACTTGGAAGTACTTTCCCATTTCTAGTAGTTTATTGCTCTAGTCCAGTTATTTATACAATTGTAAATATGTTATGCATGTATTTTTTTTACATATATTAATACTTACAGGATTTTTTACAAACACTTAGATTTACTGAAAGAAAGCAAATATAGATACATATACTAATATACAAATTGAGTCTCAGCCATGGTCATTCTAACAGAAGTTAAATATGTCACAGATGTAACAGAACTGGGGTAATAGCCAGGGATAATTCTCTTACTTAGCTCCACCCCATCAAACAAACATACATATTCATGCACACACACAATATCCATGAAATCCAGAGGGTGTTTTGCAGCCTCTCAAAAAGTTTACAAAGAAACTAGGGAGTATTCATGAGACTTTGGCCAGAAGCCATTCATGCTATAGAAAACTGTATTGTACCAGGGACATACCCAAGCAGTTCATAAAACTGTGCGTTTAGCAGGTATAGATTTAAAGAGGCCATAGGTAAGAGATGGTAATGATGTTGCTATTCTTGTTTGTAGATGCTGTGAAGGATTACATCAGGATTATTTTACATTTGTATTTGTACAGAACTCTTGTTCTGATAGTGGCAACAGGACCCTGCTGAAATACAGATAACTGTTCATACTTGATTTCTTGAAAATATCAGTAATAATGCAATTTTTTCCAATCGTCTTTCTTTCAGCAAGTTTCTAAGAAGCAAGGGTGAACAACTTATTCATCCAAGGCAGATCTCTTTGACGTGGGAGATTTCCTCACCAAAAGTCAATAAAAACAACTGTAGTATTTGCACTTTGTACTTTAAAATGTAAATTCACTTTGTAGAAATGAAATATTTAAACAGACTTTCTTTTAATCTGTGAAAATGTAATGGCTAGTTTTGAATATTTTATCACATACAATGTATGTGCTTTCTTCTGTTGTCTGAAATATGTAGAATGTGTTGGATATGTATAAGTTTGCATTTAGACCTTTTTAAAACATTGTTTAAAAACATTAGCAAGGAAACCTGATTCTGCATATTTTGGTTTCAGTAGTATGTCTTTTTTTTTAGTAGAATAATGATGAAAGGTCTGCTGTATTCTCAATTTTGTCCAAGCTATGTTGGATGTTTCGGGTTTCCAGGACCAAGGGAAGTGTGTAAATTGCTGTTGACTTGTTTTTTGCAGTTTCAAAGTGAACCAATTTTTCACTGGTGGCAATGTTTTGTTTCATTTTGGTTTTATTATTATGCTTTTCAAATATCAGGCAAAGAGAATGCAACCACTAATGAATTCAAACCAGTTATGCTACCGTTAAGACTCTTGTAGAAAAATGTATCTTTTCTCCATTTTTGAGGAGCCTTTCATTATATGTTTTGGTAGGATTTTTTACCCTGCTTGCTTTTCTTTGAGTTATTAATGCAGTAAATCAAGAAGGAGTAAAGTGGATTGTAATGTCACTTAAGTCTGGCTCAACATGATAGGCAGGCAACATGCTCCTGCCTTAAGTGCAAAGCAAAAGAGGAGCCTATCTGGGTCAGGACTGCAAATTTAACTATAAAGAGACAGAAGAAACTAAACAGATTTGTCAGCCTTTTCTTCTCCCACACCTGGCTGCCCTCATCAACTCTTTGAGTTGCCTCTGGGTCTACTAAGACGTAATGCTATCACCAAACAAAACTATGAACAGTTGCCATGAGGAGGGGCTGTTCACATTGCCCTTGCCTGAGGTGTTTTCTTGCTTTCTGGAAGAAGTTCTCATAAGTTTTCATACCTTCTTTGTCATTTCCTCCTCATCCCCCTAACTCTTTTTTTGTGTGTGTGCATGCGTGCGTGTGTGTGTGTGTGTTTGCCTGAGGGGCACAAGAACTTACGGATGTGAATTTAGAGCCCTGGACCTAAGTAAAAGGGCTCAGTCCTTGAAGAACTGTGAGTTACAAGCAGCTGGATTGATCGATGCAGTGGTAGATGGATTGCTGGCATCTAAGAACTAACATGAAAAGGCAAGAATGTTGCAACAAGCAGTGATTTCATTCTGGTTTTCTTAAATAATGTGTGGGATTGAACATGTGACTAGCTAGTCGTAATAGCACCCTGGCTCAAGCTTGTACCTGCAAAACCTTTATTGCAAATAAGAATGTTTTATTTTAGTTCTACATATGAATATATGCTGAAGTGATAGCAAACAGTGTATGTAATGGAATTGTATCCAAGAAAGTGAATATTTTTAAGCTTTGGCAGCAGGAGGAACCAAGATGCTACTGCATGTTATCTTGTATGTTTGTTTTAAAATGCATTTGTTATTCTTTTATAATGCTAAACTTTGAATTTAATCTTCTTTATAGATTAAAATCCAGTATACAATTTTTTGTCCTTTTTTTTTTTCTGCGACACAGGCATCTTTAGGAGTAGGTACACACTGTGGTGAAGTACATTATTTTTAATAATTTTTCAACTATTTTTTCCCATAGTTCTTCTTGATCAGTGAAGTAGTATTACAATATTTATGAAGCAGCCTTTACTTCGATAGCTAAGCACTCTGTGAGGCAGACAAACAATAAGTTACACAAGCCACTGTAACCATCATGATCATAATAATCTTTTGAGCAACTTCATGATCTCATGTTGTATCTCAGATCCCTTTCTATCCTTGCCCCATTATTGACTTCTTTCCTAAGTTAGGTCATGCCTTATTTACATCATAAATTTCTGAAGATAGCAATTTTTAGACCATATTCTTTGCTATTACTAACTTCATATAGCTTTTGCTTGGCCTCTTGCCTTTTCTCAGTACAGTACAATGTGGCACTGATGTGCATTGCACCTTCTGCCCTCAGTGTGATCACAAGCTGCTAGGCAATCTTTAGCCACAGTGGAATCAATAAGAAGGAGAAAGGCAATCCCTCAGGAATATTCCTCATTTTGCAAGGTGGGGCCCACTATGGTTAATAGCAGCATTTTACAATAAGCATCTAACTTCATATGACTTTATCACATGTGGTCTATATAAATGTTTGCTGTCAAGTATTTGTCAAGCTCCATGATATGAAATGACAGCTGTTTTTAAACATTGAGGGGAGAAAACTATTGACTGACTATGTGATTATGTTAGGAGTAGCCTTAAGAGCTTCAAAATAAGAGCTTAAGAGCTTCATAAATAAATTATATGGCCATTTTCCAAAGACTCTTACAACACTGAGTCATTAGAAAAGCAATGACTGAAATAGAAGGTTTTTCATCTTTGTACATATTTCTGTACTGTTCTGGTTCCTTTTAATTTCCAGACATTACACCACTCTGCTATAAGCAGCACCTAGTTCTCGTAGTTGTAATTAGGGATGAGTCCAAACTCAAACTTGGAGCACACTAGAATGCATGCTAAATTCATGTTTGGCTTATAAATCTTCTGCATGTCTATGGGATAGTGAGATTCAGATAAACCTTTGCCTTTCTAGTTTTATCCAATCCCAGATCCCAAAAAGGAATCTGTGTGGATAGTCCCTTAGGCTCATGTCAAAGTACCAGTGTTTATTTAGTTCACCGCAATGGATTAGTTCCACTTTTTATATTATTTTACGTGCAACAATTTAGATGTAATTTTAATTCCATTCTTACTGAAAGCACAACTTATATTATGATTCTTGTTGACCATTATTTATTTTGTTGAATAGAGTTTTTTTAGAGCTTTTATAAAGTTGTAAGTCAATATCTGGTAACTTTTAGAAATGTATATGTGTTCAGTGATATACCCAGGCTGTTGCAATGACCATTAGTCAATAAGATGCACAGTGAGAAATATTCTATGTTTTGTCAACATTTTGGATACATTTCTCATCCTGTTCCCAATCCTACGATCAGGCCAACTTCATAATGCCAATTTTACCAAAATCACTTCATTCTCATTCTTGTCCCAGTCTAAAAATTGCCTACTTTGCAGATTCTCATTTTGGAGACCTTTATGCTATCTGAATGTCTTAAAGACGTTTTTTTCTTGGCAATGAAATTTCTGTCAACAAGAGAACAAGGGAGCAAAAAAACATCAGTACACATGGGAATTAGGGAAAAGACTGAAAATAAAACTTAAACTGAAATCTTTTATATAGGTCAGTAGTTAAACTTTGCATTGTTCTTATTTGCTGTGGGCTTTTTTTCCTCCTCTCAATGGAGAAAACAAGCATTCTAGAAAGCTGTAAGGTGAAATAAAAATATAGACTGCATAATTATAGATCTTTAAATATGTACAGCATTTGATAAATTTAGTTAATGTTTTCCTTTTACAGTAGTAATAAAAGATGGATTAATAGAGGTTAACAGATCATCCCTGGCAAAGATAATTTAGCTGTCCTTTTTAAATATTTACACTAGCGTATTATATAACTAGATTTTGTATTAGGGACTAGTGTGAAAGAGTCTTTAATGTAAAAAGTGAAAGATTTATTACTTTTGCTTTATTTAGGATGGCAAATTGATGTCATTCTGAAGCAATTATTTTGGCTTTAAATAGCAACCAATTAAGTTTATTGATGTCTGAAACATTGGAACTGTTATAGTAAATTACTGATACAAACTGTACTCTTTGTCCCATTTAATTGTTTCAGTTCAAGTTTTATAAGTCAAAATATGCCCTTTGTTTAAAAAGCATAAATATTACATGATTTTTTTAAAAAACAAGAGCTTATTTGTAAAGTGTTCAGAACAACACGCTTCTCTAGAACAGCAAATGGTTGGGGATGACAGGGAGTGAAGCAATGTTCTGTTTTTCACCTAGGTCGGCAATAGAAGTACCTGCAGTATTATCATCTTTTCTAGGTCCACATTTCTTATTTTGTCATATGTTCTGTCCTCTGACTAATGTCACTGCTAAAATACAAAGTGCATGCATTACTAGAGTACGAGGTAAAATAGTGAAATGAAAATCAATTACAAGCGTATGAGGAAAAATCTGTAAAATAATCTGAGGCATGCTTTCACTAGATGCTCTCTTTGCTTTTGACATTAATTCAGTGCATAGGATTGTTTACTTCCCATCAAATACAGAATGCTTCTTTGCACTTACATAGAATCCCTTCCTGACTGAACAGATGCTTGATGAAGAAAAGTACTCATACAAGCTTAGCATTGTCTATGAGGCAAATCTGTTGTAGGTGAAATGCCACACTTGCTATTACATCACAAACAATAAACTTCTGCAAAGCCTACCCAGGATCTAAAGAACATCCCTGAGATTGCCTCTATCTCTTCCAAGTAGACAATCAGAAAAAAAGAAAAAAGCTGAGTGATGCTTCCATTGAGAGATACTGTTTTCACTAAACTGTGACTAATAGATTTCATGTGAATGAAGAATTCTATGAAGTTTTGCTTTAAAAGATATGCTGTCAGTTCAATGTTTATTTCTATGTCAAAACTTGCTTTTCTTAGGGGCATTTTTACACCATTTTTTATCACAAAATTAGATATGGAAAGTAAAGATATTTTTGATTCTCACCTCAACTTGAGATTTTTTAAATCATTTTTATTTGAAAGAAGTCTAATTTCCAAGCATTTGTAATTGTTCAGCTGAATCTCTCTGATGAACTTAACACTGCAACACAAAGATCATGAAGAAAACTACAATATGGGCAAAGCTATTTATAATAGTTTGTATCCACACAGCACAGTTAAAGCAGCAAAACCACTGCAACATGAATGGTAACCTGCAGATGTACAGCGTACCTTTCAGGCTTGCACAGATATATCTGCTGTGGGTTTGAATGAAATCCTTCTAAAACCTGAAATAGCATCCTGACACATCTATATCTTCTACCAGACATTTTAGACTGATGCATGCCTACTTTGACTACTACCTGAGAAGCAGTCCTAGCTCTGTCAGCATAGAGCTCCCAGTAACCTTCCTCAATCTAAAGGTTGCTTTTAGTTCTCTGAGACCCAAGGCTTACCTACCATCAGGACAGAGATTCAAAAACAACACAAGAAAAACATACTGGTAGATATTGTAA